ATGGATTTCTTTTTGAGATAAATTAGGTTTTTTTTTCATTTTTTTTATCATTCACTTGTATCTCTCACTAATTGATTCCTTCATGGCAAGTGTTACACATATTTAACAATTGTATTCATTCAATGACAAGTTTGATTCAGTTGTTTTTTCTTCTTCTTTATCTTTTTTAAGTTGTTTTTATGGCTTTCACCTTACTTTACACAATTGTCAAGAGATCCGGTACAAATCTCTTTTTTTGTTTTTGAAAAATAAAAAAAAATCATTTAATATCGGAAAAATTGTCCAATACGAATTGAACAAGAAAATCAAGATGCAATTGATTGGTAAATTACATAATTGTATGGACCTATTAAGAATAAACCTAAGCAGTTCTACTTGCAAAATGATATGTGGACATATGCCATACTAATTAAAAAATTTAATCTTGAATACATTTCTTGATGTTCTGATGCAAATCTTCAATCGTTAATTTAACAAATAGATCAATGGTTGATGCTCCTTGAATTTGAACTACAATCAAATATTGTACGTTGAGCAATGACTTAAATCCATAAATTGCTATTCTCCGATAAATAACTTGCAATCTGCAAACAAGTGTAATCCACACACAAAACCACGATAAAATTGACTAAAGGTGACAAAATTACCAAAATCATTGCGGATACAATGTACTTAATATTAACAAGAACTAATAATCATATCCGGTATGATTTTTCTGATCTCAAAGTATTGCATTAATATCCGGATACAATGTACTTAATATTAACAAGAACTAATAATCATATCCGGTATGATTTTTCTGATCTCAAAGTATTGCATTAATATCCGGTATGACAATAGTGTTGTTATGTGAAATTAACTTTAGATACAACATTGAAAGGAGTTATCGTTACATATATAAGAGCACCTCCAACTAATTAAGACACTAGAACACAAAATTTGGTGTTTTAGTGTAAACTTTGCATTTTAATGAAGACACTAAATCATCGCACTATTTTGGTGCAATGAATAATGTTACACCAGATTTGGTGTAAATTGTCCATTACACTAATTTTAGTGCACTATCTTTTCACTTTGATGTAAATATTTTTTGGTTGTGTAATTAAACTTGTAAAGCGAATTCTATTGTGAAAATTATATTCTATTAAATATTTTGTTGAGATCTTCAAAATAAGACATATATTAAATATAAAATTTAATTTTTAAAAATTAATTTGTAGTTTTTATTAAAATTGAATATGAATCAGAATTGAAAAAAAAAGTGATACTTCTACAATCAAATAAAAGATGATTATAAGAAAAAAAAAATTCACAAAATTATCACCAAATTACAAAATTTTAATTAACTACAAAAATAAAAATTAAACTGAATTCAGACCTTTTGGTGCATCAAGTTTGAAGTGCATACAATTTTGGTGTAAAAAGATATTTAGAATATTTTATTTCTACACCAAATTTAGTGTAAATTATTATATATGTAACAGTTGGAGATGTTCTTACTACGTTGATTATATTTTATCTATATGATTATACATTAAAAACTCTCTAAATATACGTTTTATAAATTAATTTCTATCAAATAAATTTCCAAACCAAAAAAAAAAAAAATCCATATCATAGAAATATAAAAACAACCATAGCCACCGCGACCGAAGATTCTGCCATTTTTTATTTTGCTTATACCAGTAGAAGTATAATTATCAAGTCACACAACACCCCAGCCGCTGTTGAAGCCATTTCTTCCGGTGTTTTGTGAATATTCTTTTTTTTTGGTCTAGTGTCCGATTAAATTTTCAGACCAAGGGTCTACCGGACCTTACGTTTGTCAAATAATTAAATTTGGTGACTACTTTGTGAACTAAGCTAGAATTATGAGTTGGATTAGTTGAATGAATTGTTCTTAAATTAGTGGGTTGCGCTACCACGTAGAACTGATGATGTGATACCATTGTTGTACCTTAGATTTTTTTTTTCCCCCACCACATTAGACCAGATATGATAGACTTTTTGAAAAATTCACTCTGAATATGGTATTCTTTTTTTGGAAAAAAAAAACTTATTATTCAATAACAAAAGTTGGAATCGGTCTGGACTGAAAGAAGACCATTCCAGAGGCGACGATTAAAAGGTGTCCCTCACCATACAAGATTTAGTATAATTAGCTATTTCAAGAACAAACGAGTTTTCTAAACGACTAACCCAAAATAGGTTGGTATTAGGAAAATGATGTAAGAGATGTTTGATGTCCTAAATGATCGGAATTGCTGATTGTAAATTTAAAGAGTAAGTTTTTATTACCATCAATTCAATATCAATTAATGGCGAGAGAGTCAGAGCAAATGGAAAAATCAATGAAGTCTTCGAAAAAAACCATGTCACTTATGACCTAATGATTATTTCAGCCATTCTGAAATATAGCATTAGGCAAACGTAAGGACCATATTTATCAAGTTAAAAGTGGTAGAAGCTAAAAAATACTTCAAAAAATAAAATAAAACTTTCTCTCGCTGCTGTGGGCAATTACCCGTTCCAGTGTGTGAGACAGTCAAAATGTATATATATATATATATATATATATATATATATATGTGTGTGTGGTGAAATTAGGTTTACTTTGTTGCAAAATTTATAAACTATCCCTACAAAATACATAAATTACATACATACAGGTCACCCGGATAACCTGCTGGGTTGACCTGAACACGACCTGTATAATAAACAGGTCGACACAAACCAGAACCGTTTATTATACGGGTCAAAAAAAACCAACCCGAATCCGGAAATTTCGTGTCGGTTTCATGTCAAAAATCTGGATTGTGTCGGAGATTGCCAGCCCTACTAGCAATCAATACCATTCAGTATCAGCTATGGTGAGATAAGAAAGCGAGAAGAAAGTTGTTGTTAAGACAGTTAAACTTGTGGTTACGCCAAAAGAGAAGCGTAAATCGACTAGTAGTTGTTCGCTACAACCGGATCAGAAAGATAAGGCATCTGAATATGTGGTAAGTAGTCCTAATTCACCAATTACTTCGCTTCCAGTGCGTGCTAAATCTGTGCATGAGGATATGTGTAAATGAACGAATTGTTGCTTCTGGAAATTTGCCTGGTAACATGGAAATTAGGGGAAAAAAAACAAAAACCCTAGATCCCAAATGGGCGTCGTTTAAGATTGAAAAGATGAGAGGTAGTCCTACTAAACTTGAATTTGTGAGCCCATATGTTATAGATGATAAGAAGATAGCGAAGATTGAGAAAGTGGATGTTGAAGATGAAATTGCCGACTGGAATCCATCAATAATAAGCTATGTTCTTGGAAGTCATCCTCCGTATCATGTTATGAACGGTTTTATGAGGTGGAATTGGGGTAAAGTTGGTGTATATAAAGTAATATTGTTGTCTAGTGGTATTTTTGTGGTTAGATTCACTAATATGGAAGGCAAGAAAGCTATTTCCTGAGCAATAATACCACCATTTTGACAGTAAATCGTTAATTGCAAAATGGAGAAAATTATGAGAGTCCCCATTGGATACAGCTCCCTGGTCTGAAACTCAAGTACTGGAACCCAAATTCCTGGAGTGGAATAGTCGGGACAGTGGGGAAGTCGGCGAGAATGGATGAAATGACTGCAAACAAACTAAGAATTGGGTATGCTAGGATTCTAATAGAGATGGAAATTAAAAAGATCTACCTGATAAACTGTGGTTCGAGGATGAATGTGGGATGATTATAGAGCAGAGCATTCTGTATGAGTGGAAGCCCATCAAATGTGAGAGATGTAAAGGAATTGGTCATGCAACTGCTACATGCAGGACTGGGAACCGCAAGTGTGGAGACCAAAGTCCAATACTAACACGGGTCAAAAGACAAAGCATAAGGAGATCCAGCTTATTGGGAGGGTCTGAGTGGAAGCCCATCAAATGTGAGAAATGTAAAGGGATTGGTCATGCAACTGCTACATGCAAAACTAGGAACCCGCAAGTGTGGAGACCAAAGGTCAATACTACCAACGCTCAGCAGACAAAGCATAAGGAGATCCAGCCTAATGGGAGGCCAAAAGCAAAAGCAGTGATGGAATGAATCGTTACAACCAGCAACGTTCTATATAATCGTAATCCTGTGGAAGAGTATAGATTGTGGGTGAATAAAGAAGGAATAGGAGATGGTGGCACGCACTGACTTTTTCTCTCTAACAAGAGAGCTTCTCTTTCTTCGCCAAAAGAGAGTCAGGAAAACCCCAAATTAGCAACAACCCCCAAATTAGCTCTCAATCGATCAAGCTTTCTTCTGCAATTAATTTCAATAATCAATAGGTTCTTTAATTCCAAAAGCAGCACAACCTCGCAAAACTCATCTTATGATTTGATCGGATTACCAATCTCCTAAGCTTGACATAAAGCGAATCAAACACACATCGATTAAGCGTCGTCGTGGCTGAATCCAGACGTTGCCGACAACCGCTCTCTGTTGTGGGTTTTCAGCTCCACCCTGCTTGCTTCGCCAAGTTCACCTTCGTATTGGGTCTCGTTTTTCAAGTGGTGGTTTACGGTTGACGATGGGGATATGGGGCTAGGTTCTCCTTTTCGCCATATAATCCTAGATTTTTTGTTCTTTATTTGATGCAGCATCAGCAAAGATAAGTCCCCTTCCTCAATATGAGCTGAATTCCAATTTTATGAACTGTCCTTAGAAGCAGCATCTTCTGAAATTGGTATAGCGCTTTATACTTGCTAGTACTCCATTTACGAGCATCAACTCACAAGCATAATCCAGTACACAAGCACTTTGGCTTCTTATTGAAGCCGAATTAATTTGGATAAGATTTTATGGTTTTCCTTTAGAGCACTTTGACAATTTAACAACTCAGGATTTAGCAACAAAGGTTGGGGAGCCAGAGTTGGTTGGTGCCTATGTTTTGAAGGCTAATCAAGCAACTTTTACCAGAGTGCGAGTATGGATAAAACCTTTCGAATTACTCACCTCTGGATTTTATTATGAATTCATGAAAGGAAACTTGGTTTGGATACAATGTCCATATGAAGGTATTTTCAAAGTCTGTGGAAAGGTGCAGGAAAGTGGGGCATCCAATATCTAGGTGTACACTAAAGGAGCCAATATAAGAAAAAATCATATTCTCTTCAAAACTTGATCTTGAGTCATTGTTGGAATCCACGAGTCTCAACAATAAAATGGTTTTGAATGGATATAAATTCAAACAAGGAGATGGAGAATACCATATCTTTTTTGTACTCAGAGGATCTTCAAATAAGCAATAAATGGGGGCAGAAAGTTTATCCTGAGCTACGAGCTAAGACTAAGAAGAGAAGGAACATAGAGTTGGAAGAAAATCTTCTCGACTCCCGGGGTATGTATGATATAGCAAATGCTGGTAAACAATGGATTGGAACTCAAAAGCTAAGAAAGTTTGAACTACTTGGATCTGTTTCACGTGCTGTTTCTATTGAGAAAAGTACGAGTGCTAGGACTGGGTTTTGGGCATGTGAACATCTAGAGTCATGGGAACAGAATAGGAAAAGGAACTTTGGTGTAGCTTGGCATCATCAACAAACTCCCGAAGTGTGCATCGCTGTTAAGAAACGGAGATATTTAAAATCCTCTCGGCTCTTGGGAAGAGAAGCTAACCCATTCTCGTGCCCTTTCGCTTTCAAGCCAATGAAAAGAACCTTTCAAGAAGGTTCTCCTGAAAAAGTTTCTAAAAAACAGAGAACAGAAACAACCGTGGTTGCAGGCACTTTCATTGATTGCAGGTCTCATGTGACTATTGGTGAGGCACTAGATGACGGTGACAGACTGATTAAGGGCAAAATTCTTGGAAAGCAGACTTGTAACCCTACTGTGGTGGCTAGCTCCTCTGGTTAAAGTGCGAGTGTTGGGGATAAAAGAAAAAGATTTGAGAGCGGAGGATTCAATACCGGATCAAAGGAAATATCGGAGAGCAATGCATGTGCACATGCTTCTATTGCAACCAATAAGGTGATGGAGTTTGAGAAGCTGCTTGGGATTCTTGCTACTGTTAATTTTCTTGAAAATGCTAATTTTGAAGGTTTTTTGGTGGTTGAACCAAATCAATTACCAAGCAGCCATGAGAGCCCTTTCGTGAAATTGCAGGGGCTTTAACCGGCCCCCTGTGAGACAATTTCTTAAGGAGTTAGTAAGTATGTACAGTCCTGATATTTTGTTTTTGCAAGAAACTAAAGATTGTAGTAGTGTGCTAGCTAAATGGGTGGAAAACACCAATTTTGGTCACTGATTTGTTGTTGATTCAGTGAGTTCAGCAGGAGGCCTAGCTCTTTTTCTGGTCTCATAGCTTGCAGGTGGAAGTGTTAGCTCATCAACAGAATGTAATAGGAGTCAAATATTCTGTTGCCACCTGGAGCAACAGCAAAGGTCTAAGACATGGCATAAAATCTAGAATTTGGCATTGTGCTATGACTTGAATAGGGCTATATTGGGGGATTTTAACCAAATCTTGGAACCTGGTGATAAAAGAGGGGGTCTACCTTTTAAAGATAAGTCATCAGCTCCCCTCTAGGATTTTTTAGACATTTTTGATATGGCAGAGATCCCTTTTCATGGTAATAAGTTCACATGGTCCAACAACCGGAAAGGGAGTAACCTCATTGTAGAGCAATTGGATCGAGGATTTGCAAGCCCAAACTGGTTTCTAGCTTTCCCAAAAGCTCATATACAGAATCTCCCAATTTCTATCTCGGATCATGGGCCTTTTATCTACTACACTCATGAAGAAGTGCGTCATTCACGAAGTCATCCTTACTGCTTTGAGTCTTTTTGGGTAAGAGTTCCAGCGGCACATGAAGTCATTAAGCAGTCATGGAACTCACCAAACTTTCTTAGTAATGAAAATGTACAGTCATGGAACTCACCAGACTTTCTAAGTAATGAAAATGTACTGTCTACCTTCTCGACAGCTTTGGACTAAGGAATCAAGCATCTATCGAGTTGGCACAAACAATGTTTTGGCACCATTGATGCGAATATCCATAAGTGCACTACCAGATTGTAGAAACATCAATTGGGCGATGGAATAGTGCAGAATAGTACCTTGATAGCTAACGCAAAAGAGGAATTGGAATGCCATATCATTTACAAAAGTGACTATTGGTCTCAACGGGCAAAAATTTGATGGTCACAGGAAGGGGATAGAAACACAAGTTACTTCTATAGCTGGGCAATGAGACGTAAAGCTCGTGATTGGATTAATGCTCTTCAAGATGAGAATGGCATGTGGAAAAAATCACAAGAGGAAGTCCAACAACTTATGCTACAACATTTTAGTAGAGTGCTATTGGCGGATGATTTTTACCCCAATGATGATGAAATTTGGGGAACCCAACCACCCCTCCTGGAATTGATTCAACCACAGGTGTCTATGGAATAGGGTGGAAAGCTCTAGAAAGCCCCTTCACCACCTCAGAAGTTAAATCTACTCTTTTTAGTATAGCGCTATGGAAGTCATCGGGACCAGACGGTACTCCGGCGGGTTTCTTTCAAAAATTCTGGGAGACAGTCAAGGATAAAAATTTTTCTAGCTCTGTTGAAGATCCTAAATGAACATCAATGGGAGGATGGTTGGAAACAGACGAGAGTTATATTCATCCCAAAAACGAGTAACCCAAGACTCCAGCAGACTTTCATCCTATCGGTCCTTGCAATGTCAACTATAAGATAATTGCAAAGGTCTTAGCAAACCGCCTCAAGAAAATCTTGCCCAACCTAATCTCTGAAAACAAAAATGGCTTTGTCCCATGCAGGAATATTGGCGAAAACATCCTCATTGTTCATGAAGCTATCAAACACATCAGGAAGCGGAAAAAAAGTCAACTAGGAATGGCGGCTCTTAAGATTGATATGAGTAAAGTTTATGACAGAGTTTCTTGGGCTTTCTTGCAGCAGACGTTGATCAAATTTGGTTTTCTGACTGCCTTTGTTGAGCTGGTAATGCAGTGCGTGAATACAATCTCGTTCTCAATTTCTGTGAATGGTTGGCAATCTGATTTCTTCAAACCGGTCAGAGGGCTTCGACAAGGTTGCCCATTATCTCCGTATCTTTTCATAATCTGCCAACAAGTACTATCTCATGCATTGAATGATTTGGACAGGTTGTGCAATGGCTTTGGTATCAAGATCGGCCCTTCAGTTCCTCAATGAAGGCATTTGATGTACGCTGACGATTGTCTGATCTTTATGGAAGTTAAATAGCAGAATGTTAGGCCTCTAGCAGAACTCCTTAATTAGTATGCAAAATATTCTGGCCAACGCATAAATTTGACAAATCTTCATTGCTGGTGAGCCCCAACATTTCCCCAAATTTTCAGCTTCGGAACGATATGTGGTTGCACATCCCGGTTCGGGCCTGTCAGGGGAAGTATCTGGGCTTATCCTTGGATTTCATGTCAAGGGAGACCGTTTTGTTTGGCAACATTATTGCTCGTCTGAAACAAAAGTTCACTCATTGGAAGACAAAATCTCTTTCAATCAGGGACGGACTTAGTGAGGGGCTTGGATCCCAAAAAAAAAAATTTTATTACTAGGATTTAAAATATTTTCATGCTTTAAACAAAACATCTCTAGTAAGTTTTTTTATGTATAGAAATTTTGTTTGCTTAAGACTCTTGACTAGTTGATTAAGTCTAATTGGCCCACATCCTCCTCAATTCTAGTAATTTTCTACTTCAAAAAGGAAAAGAATTTTTTTTTATCAAACAAAAAGGAAAAGATTTTAAATGTTCGGAACTAAAAAGTCGACCAAAAAACTAAGAAAAAAAAAACAAAACAAAACCCTCAACCACCGCCTCCTCAAAGACTCAAAACTTTTTCAATATCAAGAATCAAGATTGAAGTTCCTTTTCGCAAATTGCTAATTTGAGATTCCATTCAGGGAAACTAATAACTTTGAATCTTGTATTTTTCATTAATTCATTATCATTGCTTTTTTCCCCCCTCGGAAAGTTTTGTTTTGTTTTTCTTCGGAATTATGATGGCCGAATTGGCTTCCAATTGAAGGAATAATAATAATACACTTAGTATGTTTTTTTTAAAAAAATGTTATTAGATATTTGTGATAAATTAAGTTGATTCGTTGATAAACAATATTAGTTAGTATTTTCCATGAAATTTTGTTAATTGTCTTAATGTTAATGAATTTTTTCCCTTTTTTTGATGTTATATTAAGTCAAGGTATCATAAAGCGAGGAATAGGGCGGTGGGAGGCTCAGATTCCTATCAACCCTCGACATCATCTACAAGTGTGATATCCACCAATTCATGGAAGAAATTCTGTTTAGTGGAGGTTCCGCCAAAGATCCAGTGGTTCATATGGCGTTTACTTAACCATGCGGTGCCTTCGAGCATGGCGCTGGTTAAACGAGGCCTTTAGATTCCCACACTATGTGCTCGATGTTGTCAATATCAAGAAAACACGGAACACATCTTCTTCGATTGTGATCACTCGCAACGAATGTGGCGTAGTTCCCCATTGGGGTTTGATTTCAGTTGTGCACAAAGGGTTCCTTTAGTGGACTAGTTCAGGGATTGGTTTAATCAGGCTCCAGACAAATCACTGATTCAACTATCTTGTTTCTTGCTTTGGGAAATCTGGATCGCGAGAAACAAGGCAATCTATGAAGCACAATTACTGAATCATATCCTCGCTCAGCAATAGGCCATGCCAGAATAGAACTTATTTTGTTATATTTCACAAAAAAAGGGCAGAATCAGTAGAAAAAGACCACAGGGAGTTAGCCCCAAGCATGTCGAAACATCAAGAGAAATAATTTTATTAGAATAGATGAGCTTATCAAGAAAGTGAATTCAGGGGAGCAAGAGCTTAGGAAATCGTGTCGGTGCAAGGGCGCTTAATTAACTACGGGTCAGACACCTACGCAACGAGCTCAACTGAGATGTCAGAAGCCCTCGCCTGTTTAGCAGCCCTAACCCAAGCAAGGCACATGGGGATTACAAACTGCCAGCTATAGACGGATAGTTAAACAATAGTGGACATCATACACGGAAGAAGAACATGTCCTCTACTCCTGGAGCCGCTCTTTGAAGAGATTTTCTCACTTCTTTCTTCAATTTCTAATGTAATAGTTATGAAAGTCCCAAGGGATACTGTAGAAGCGGTACATAGGTTAGCAAAAGCAACCCTTCGTTTATCCGCTTGATGTAACTCTCGAATTTAATATATTATAAATCTTTTCTTCAAAAAAAAAAAAAGGAGATGGTGGCACCACAATGGGGTTTATCCCTGATAAATAATCTCCTGATATCAAATACCAGGGGACTACATCATCCCTTGAAGCATAGAGATTAAACATCTCATCTCTATGAGCCATGTAAATGTAATAGGATTAGTAGAAGTAAAGCTAAAAAAGGAGCAGTTGAAGGATAGTATGGACAAGTGATGTAGTGACTATGATTACTGTAGGAACTATAACGGCGAGGGTTGGAATCAAATCTTAGTGCTTTGGAGAAAGGATGAGATAAAAGTACAAGTAATACAAGTAACAGAGCAATTCATTCATACGAAGGTAGATGATGTGATAAATAAAAGGGAGTTCTTCATGACCATTGTGTATGGATCAAATTATAGGACTGAAAGAGAACATTTATGGAATGATCGTATGAGCTTGGGTACAAATATACAGGGAGCTTGGTTAGTGGCAAGGGATTTCAACACTATTCTAACTCAAGAAAAGAAGATTGGAGAAATGCTGGTTATCATGAGAGATGGGGAGAAATTCCAGATGACCATAGAAGACTGCTAGTTAGTACATCTGTTAGCTCAAGAAAATTTCTACACATGGAATAACAAGCAAAGTGGAAGTAGCAGAATTTAT